TCATCCAAAGGCAATGGGTGCCATGGCAAAAAGCAGCATGTGTCCACTTGGACACGTGTGTTGGGGATTGCAGACACCCGCATTAAAGCACTGAAGTATCAAGGTCAGTATGACAAGGACAGCATTGTCAGGATAGGTCAGGTTTCCATGTAAAAGCAGTGTTCCCAATTAAATGTATTGCATGCCATCATTGGGCTGTTTCTGCACTGCATTAGGGTGAAATGGGTGACAATTATGGTCAACCTAATATAGACAGTTGAAAATGTATTACTGACAAGAATGAAAAAAAAACATAAACACAGCCATAGTGTAACTGAGCCAAACTTCCACCCAGCTAGTCCATAGTTATTACTCTACTGTAGAGGCCTCTATACCTTATACTGGGGTTTGATAATGCATTTGCCAATCCTGCACCAAATGACATTGTAAAGCTTCCTGTCTGGAGCTCTACTTTAAAGGACACATTCAAAACTCATCATCATAAATGTTAAACTAACTCTGCAGAGGAAAAAGCTGGTTGATAATTATACCCTAGATCTAAACACCATCTGTCTGTAATCCACTTCACATTGTGCTCTTCCATTTTGCTTAGCCTGCAGAGCAGCAGTAAACGCACCTAGAAGAAAATCAACCACAATAAGGTAGCAAGCTGACTGATTGTATCATAGCATAGCATGTTTGTAGTTTACATTGATCAAAGGACCATTTAGATGTACAGTGCCTTGAAAAAGTATTCATATCCTTTGAAATTTTCCACATTTTGCCATGTTATAGCCAAAAATGTAAATGTATTTTATTGGGATTTTATGTGAGAGAACAACACAAGTGGCACATAATTAGGAAATAGAAGGAAAATGATAAATGGTTTTCAAAATTTTCTACAAATATCTGAAAAGTGTGGTGTGCATTTGTATTCAGCCCCCTTTACTCTGATACTAAAATCTAGTGGAACCAAGTGCCTGCAGCAGTCACCAAGATAGTAAATAGAGTCCACCTGTGTATACTTTAATCTCAGTATAAATACATCTGTTCTGTTAAGCCCTCAGAGGTTTGTTAGAGAACATTAGTGAACAAACTGCAACATGAAGGCCAAGGAACACACGAGACAGGTCAGGGATAAAGTTGTGGAGAAGTTTAAAGCAGGGTTATGTTATAAAAAAAATATCCCAAGCTTTGATCATCTCACAGAGCACTGTTCAATCCCTCATCCAAAAATGGAAAGAGTATGGCACAACTGCAAACCTACCAAGACATGGTCATCTACCTTAATTAACAGGCAGGGCAAGGATTAATCAGAGAAGCAGCCAAGAGGTCCATGGTAACTTTGGAGGAGCTGCAGAGATTCACAGGACAACTATTAGTCATGGACTCCACAAATCTGGTCTTTATGGAAAAGTGGCAAGAAGAAAGCCATTGTTGAAAGAAAGCCATAAGAAGTCCCAAGTGCAGTTTTCAAAAAGGCATGTGGGGAACACAGCAAACATGTGGAAGAAGGTGTTCTGGTCAGATGAGACCAAAATTAAATTTTTTGGCCTGAAAGCAAAACTCTATGTATGGCAGAAAACTAACACTGCATATCACCCTGAACACACCATCCCCACCGTGAAACATGGTGGTGGCAGCATCATGTTGAGGGGATGGTTTTCTTCAGCAGGGACAGGGAAGCTGGTCAGAGTTGATGGGAGCCAAATACAGGGCAATCTTAGAATAAATCCTGTTAGAGTCTGCAAAAGACTTGAGACTGAGGCATAGGTTCACCATCTTCCAGCAGGACAACAACCCTAAACATACAGCCAGAGCTACAATGGAATGGTTTAGATCAAAGCATATTCATGTGTTAGAAAGGCCCAGTCAAAGTCCAGACCTAAATCCAATTGAGAATCTGTGTCAAGACTTGAAAATGGCTGTTCACAGACGCTCCTAATCCAATCTGACAGAGCTATTTTGCAAAGAAGAATGGGCAAAAATTTCACTCTCTAGATGTGCAAAGCTGGTAGAGACATCCCCAAAAAGACTTGCAGCTGTAATTACAGCAAAAAGTGGTTCTACAAAGTATTGACTCAGGGGGGGCTGAATACAAATGCACGCCACACTTTTCAGATATGTATTTGTAAAAAATTTTGACAACCATTTATCATTTTCCTTCCACTTCACAATTATGTGCCACTTTGTGTTGGTCTATCACATAAAATCCTAATAAAATACATTTACGTTTTTGGTTGTAACATGACTAAATGTGGAAAATGAATACTTTTTCATAACACTGTATAATATTGTCACACAAACTGGGCTACTACTTCTACAATTTCAGGTAGCATAGGCTCGAAGCCCCAACCGCTGGAGAAGCAGAGGAAGTACTCAGTTCTATTGTCTGCTATAGAAATACACAAAAAACAAACTTCTCTAGCACTTGGGCCCACATTTCTTTATCTAGGTTGCCATTTCCCCTGGCCTGATGTGAAATGTCATGAAATGAAATGACTGTATCTTGCCCCTGATTCTAGATAGAGATAAGTTGCAACTTAACATTTCCTCAGGCTCCTTGTCTTGATAGTTTTTTTTTATTTCAGGATATATACAGGCATGCAGTTTCCACCAAGGGTAATCTCTACTTGAGTTGCCAATGGTTTGACAAGGTAAAATAGACCCTAATGCACATCCTAGACATCACAGACCCATAAATGTGTGTGTATTGAAGTGACATTCTAATTATAAGGCCTCAGGCACATTAGAAGTATACATCATAAAAGTCTGTCTTTTTTCTGTGCCAGGGAAGCTTAGATTCTGCTTACAGCTGTCCACAGACACACACGTAAACCCTTGTAGAGCATTTGGATGTTTTCCTGACAGCTCCATTTCAGCATAGCTGGGTAAGGACCCCGACCCCCATGCTTCCAGGACCTAACTCATAAATGTTAGCCCACCTGCAGCCTCAGTGTTCCTGTTTTTTGCTCCCATGTGCAGGACCTACGTGTGCTCCTCTACCTGGCTGGTCTAAAGGGCTGGCTGGCTGGCTGTCCGTCCATGCATGTGGGTTTCAGCTGGATGCGGTCCCTGGTGTACTGGCTAAATGATCTATAATCCAGGGAGCCCCGCTGCTGGTCCTCGGGTGGCTTTTATCACGGCTAACAATCGTGTCTGGGGTCTGCTGGGTCCATGTGAAGTGGGCAGTGGTGTAAGCAGTCTCTTTTAGGCACGCGCACCCGCACACAGTGCCAGTGTTTACACTTGGATGGCCAAGGTTAGGTGAGCTAAATGTAAAAATGCTTTGTATCCAAATGATTGCTGCATTGGTGTGTGCTTGCTCCCTGCAGCTGCTGTGCATACCCTGAGCTCCTCCACAGATAGTTCTCTGCATAACCGGTGTACAAAGTAATACTTTGTCTGTTCACACATGGCATTAACCTGTTAGTGGCTTCTCATATTTGCTTTACTAATGTGCCATTATGCCAACCCCCTCAAAAGACCAGCATTCCCAAAGAAGGTAGAGGAGTCGCCTGTGGATGACTACCATAGCCAGCATTGCCTGTTAGAGTATAGGACATCCCTTTAATATTTGTTTGTGCTCTCCAGTTTCTCAAAAAAAAGGGAGAAGGTCTTTATGTCGTCAACAATTCCCTTGGATGACTTGAATTCCCTTGGATGTACATTGCAGAATATTATTGTAATTTTGATGCAAATTCCTACCTTTTTCTTTTTTTTTTGCTTTTCCTAACAAAACATTTTCATCATGTCCTGTTCTCTGGAAGAGCAAGGTTTGGTTCATTAACCACCAGGTGAAGTCAGGGCTATGGTTGGAAGCTGAAGTATCGGCTTCCCTCTAGCAGTGGTTACTAAGCAAGCTATTTTCTACTTCATTATTGGGGGGGTTTTTTAGCTGCTTTACCCTCCCTGGCAGTATTCCTGAGTGTAGCTCGGGGTTAATTATCAGTGCCAAAAGCGGTATCCCCTGCCGCATTGCTCTGGGATTCCCTCGATCACTTACCTTGTCCTGCGCTCCCGCGATGTGTCCCCTGCAGCGTCCCCGGCCATCTCCTCCGGCCGATGCCGGCGTCTTCCGGGTTACGGTCCCTGTGAGCGTCGGGACATACGGGAAGTGTGGGAGCCGGAATTGGTGGGAAATTTTTAATTTTTAAAAGTGACATTCACTAATACACTAAAATCAGTAAAACATTACTGTCAGAGCTCCCGGGTATGACCAAGGTGGTGTGTGACTGACGCAGGGAAACGCAGACTTCAGATATGTTATAAACAATGTAATTTATTAACACTAACCATACAAACATAAACGCAGTGCAATACTAAAACATAACACAGTGCAAACAAACCAACCAACCACCCACAGATAACAGTACATACAATGCAAGCGTCGTCAGGCAGGCCGGGTCAATATCATTCGGGCAGGTAGGTACAGGGGGAGCAAGCGGAGAATGGCCGGGGTCACAGGCCAGGTTCAGCAGGTAGCGGGCAGCGTGGTACGGAGGGTCAGGCAGAGGAGAATGGTCAGACAAGCCAGGGATCAGAGCAGGGTCAGCAGAGAATCAGACAGGAACAGAGAGCAGGAACAGGATACAGGGCCCAAGAGAAACACAACACCAAGGCAGAGTCTGCAGGTGTGAATGTCCCTTAAATACACCAGTATAATTAGTTCCAGGTGTTTGACTGGCTGCAAGGTTGAGTCTCTGATTGCTGGGAGCACCCGCTGGCCAGCCCTGGTACTGCAGCTCATAAGGCAGCTGAGTCCCACTATTGCTGGCCAGTCCATTCCTGACGCCTGACGGGCCCCCAGGCGGGGCCAACAGGCGTCGGGCCCCCAGGCGGAGCGGGGGCGCAGGCCCCCAGGAGGGCAACAGGCGGGCCCCCAGGCGGGCAACATGCGGAGCGGCGGGCGGGCGCTGGACCCCCAGGAGGGCAACAGGCCCTCAGGCGGAGCGGGCCCCCAGGCGGAGCGACAGGTCTCGGGCCCTCAGGCGGAGCGCGGGCAGGACCCCCCAGGCGGACAGGTCTCGGGCCCTCAGGCGGAGCGGCGGGCGCCGGACCCCCAGGTGGAGCGACAGGTCTCTCGGGCCCTCAGGCGGAGCGGCGGGCGGCGGGCCCCCAGGCGGAGCGACAGGCACCGGGCCCCCAGGCGGAGCGACAGGTCTCGGGCCCTCAGGCGGAGCGGCGGGCGCCGGACCCCCAGATGGAGCACAGGTCTCGGGCCCCAGGGAGCGGAGCGGCGGGCGCCGGACCCCCAGGTGGAGCGACAGGTCTCGGGCCCTCAGGCGGAGAGCGGCGGGCGCCGGACCCCCAGGTGGAGCGACAGGTTTCGGGCCCTCAGGCGGAGCGGCGGGCGCCGGACCCCCAGGTGGAGCGACAGGTCTCGGGCCCTCAGGCGGAGCGGCGGGCGCCGGGCCCCCAGGCGGAGCGACAGGTCTCGGGCCCCCAGGCGGAGCGACAGGTCTCGGGCCCTCAGGCGGAGCGACAGGTCTCAGGCCCCCAGGCGGGGCGGCGGGCGCCGGACCCCCAGGCGGAGCGGCGGGCGCCGGACCCCCAGGCGGAGCGACAGGTCTCGGGCCCCCCCCAGGCGAAGCGGCGGGCACCGAGTCACCAGGCACGACAGTGGGCTCCGAGTCAACTGGCATGACCGCTGGCACTGGGTCAGACATTGGATCGTCTGGCTGGACAGCGGGCATCGGGTCACCAGGCATCAGGTCATTTGGCTCGACAGCGGGCACCGCGTCATCTGGCAAGGCAGTGGGCTCCGAGTCAACTGGTATGACCGCGGGCACTGGGTCAGACATTGGATCGTCTGACTGGACAGCGGGCATCGGGTCACCAGGCATCAAGTCATTTGGCTCGACAGCGAGCACCGCGTCATCTGGCAAGGCAGTGGGCTCCGAGTCAACTGGCATGACAGTGGGCACCGGGTCATCAGGTACCGGATTGTCTGGCTCGACAGCGGGCATCGGGTCACCAGGTATGACAGCGGGCACTGGGTCACCAGGCATCAGGTCATTTGGCTTGCCAGCGGGCACCACGTCATCTGGCAAGGCAGTGGGCACCGGGTCACCAGGCATTGGATCGTCTGGCTCGACAGCGGGCATCGGGTCACCAGGTATGACAGCGGGCACTGGGTCACCAGGCATCAGGTCATTTGGCTCGCCAGCGGGCACCGCGTCATCTGGCAAGGCAGTGGGCACCGAGTCACCAGGTACGACAGCGGGCTCTGAGTCAATTGGCACGACAGCGGGCACCGGATCAGGTACCGGATCATCTGGATCAACAGCGGGCATCGAGTCAACTGGCCTAATAGGATCGTCAGGCTGGATCAGTTCATCATGCTGGGTAGAGGCATCAGGCTGAATGCCGGCGTCCGGCTGAGTAGAGGCTTCAGGCTGAGTAGAGGCTTCAGGCTGAGTAGAGGCTTCAGGCCGAGTAGAGGCTTCAGGCAGGCCGAGTAGAGGCTTCAGGCCGAGTAGAGGCATCAGGCCGAATAGAGGCATCAGGCCGAGTAGAGGCTTCAGGCCGAGTAGAGGCATCAGGCCGAATAGAGGCTTCAGGCCAAGTAGAGGCACCAGGCCGAATAGAGGCTTCAGGCCGAGTAGAGGCTTCAGGCCGAGTAGAGGCTTCAGGCTGAAGAGAGGCATCAGGCTGCGTACAGGCATCAGGCCAAGTAGAGGCATCAGGCTGAGTAGTACAGGCATCAGGCTGAGTACAGGCATCAGGCTGAGTAGAGGCTTCAGGCTGAACCACGGAAGGCAGGTTCACCGGTTTGGATACTGGCAGGATGGTATTGGTTGGAAAGAATTTTCGCTTTTTTCTGGTTTTAACTACTGGAGCACTGCAAGTAAACGCAGGTCTGCAAACGAATGGAGCAGCTGGAGACAGAGAAGAACTGGAGGATGGAACAGGAGAGGGAGCAGTTGCTACAGAGGGCTTTTTTACAGGGTTAAAGGCAGGATAGGTGCAGCGAGTGGGAACAGGGTACTGACATGCGGTAGATAGCAGGGCAGGAGGAGCTGTTGGGAATGCAGGAATAGAGTTTTGAGGAAATAGATTAGAAGCAGGACTGGGTTTTTGTAAGCTGACTGAGGCTGGGTGCAACAAGTCTGTCCATGTCTGCAGTATGGGTTGAACAAAGCTGAGCTTACACAAAGCCTGTCTGACCAAAGACTGCACTGCGTTTATACAACCTCTTAGTGTCTGTGGTGAACATGTGGAATAACGCTCCAGAAAGTAACCCACATCATCCTCTAATAACCACACCAGGGACTCTATCTGGTCTGCACTAAATGGTGGCAAAAATTCATCCCTGCATTCGGGGGTACCAGATGAAACCAACTCAGCACAAACCTCAATCAAAGGCTGCACCTCAGAGAACTCTGTGCCCTGATCTACTAGAACATGAGCGAGCCGTATACATTCTAGCAGTTCATCCCGTGTATACTCCTTCAGAGTTTGATAAGCATACTCCCTGTCATCAAACACTAGCAGATATAAATACGCAACCTCATCAAGATCCATCCTTCCCATCAACAAGCCAAGATGGCTTCCCTGTGCAGCCACTTCTGGTCAGGATTGGCCTTGGTGTAATGTCAGAGCTCCCGGGTATGACTGACGCAGGGAAACGCAGACTTCAGATATGTTATAAACAATGTAATTTATTAACACTAACAATACAAACATAAACGCAGTGCAATACTAAAACATAACACAGTGCAAACAAACCAAACCAACCACCCACAGATAACAGTACATACAATGCAAGCGTCGTCAGGCAGGCCGGGTCCATATCAGTCGGGCAGGTAGGTACAGGGGGAGCAAGCGGAGAATGGTCGGGGTCACAGGCCAGGTTCAGCAGGTAGCGGGCAGCGTGGTACGGAGGGTCAGGCAGAGGAGAATGGTCAGACAAGCCAGGGATCAGAGCAGGGTCAGCAGAGAATCAGACAGGAACAGAGAGCAGCAGGAACAGGATACAGGGCCCAAGAGAAACACAACACCAAGGCAGAGTCTGCAGGTCTGAATGTCCCTTAAATACACCAGTATAATTAGTTCCAGGTGTTTGACTGGCTGCAAGGTTGAGTCTCTGATTGCTGGGAGCACCCGCTGGCCAGCCCTGGTACTGCAGCTCATAAGTCCCGCTATTGCTGCTGGCCAGTCCATTCCTGACAATTACTGTATCAAAGCATTTCACATACATATTGTCCCTACTGCTTTGTCCTGTGCCCTGCCTGCATTTTTACTGTTCTTTCTGCCTGGAAAAAGACACAGATGAACACAACAATGTGAACCTTGCTTTGTTCAAGCAAACACAAATGAGGCTGATGACACCCAACACGTTGTCACATTCATTAAGTGGCCAGTGCACTCAAAGGGAGTTGTTTCCACTCACCCTGTGAAAAGGATATATGTTATGGCGATTGGAAATCACATAGCCGTGCCAGGCAAGACAGCCTCTTCAGACTCTATGAAAAGGAAGATGCGAATGAGCATGACTATCCTGTTAGTTTAAACAGCCAGGGATAGAGATGATGACAACAAACAGGATGTCACATTCAATAAACAATACACTAAAGGAATGGTTTCCAGTTACCCTTTGAAAGGGTTATCTGCTTTGGCAATGAGAAGCTGCCTAGTCTTCCCAGGCCAAGCATCCCTCTATAGAGTTTCCACAGAAGACGATGTGGATGGACATTACTGCATGAATACTACTTTGTTCGAGCAACCAAGGATAAAGATGACACCTAACAGGTTATCACATGAGGCTAATACGCTCTGAGGTCCGCTCTGCAAACAATTGAATTACAAACATGAAAAAAAAAACCTCTACCATACACCCATTAAAAACGGCAACGTTGTCATTACAAAAGTCCAGACAGCAACTACCCATACAGTTTCCACAGTTGCCTGCCAAGTAATTATTCTTGATTATTAATGGGCCATGTTGCCCTATTTGAAGCCCTTTAAGCAGGCATGTGAGTAGGACTATGGCTCCATTGTGAGTAATGTATTTTTAGACAGCCATTATGAATGGTTAGGCGTGGTCTATTGTAGTTGCTGTCCAGACTTTTTAAAGTCCGGACCACTCTGTCCCTTTACGGTAACTTTTGTTGACTTCTCTTAGTCTAATCATTTTATATGTAGTACTATGGAGCAATTCAAGCTGAAGGTTCACAAAAGAAGCAATAAAGCTGTTTAAGTCAACTCCCAGTAATCTGCTCTCTCCCTCTCTACCTTTGCATCTACTTTGTGTTTATATTAGAAATATTAGAGAGAGGGCTGGAAGGCTTCCAAGTCATTACTGGCAGGGACAGAATTTGTTGAGCTGCTGAAAGTCAAAGTGCTATTATTGTTATCTTTGATGATGAATTACCCTACAATGCATGCAGCTATGGAGATCAGTGGGGGCTGGTTTTAAACCATTTACAGCTGCTATTGTTGAAAACTTATAAATATTTGAATATCCATAACCTGGCCACAGGTTCACTTTAAGTGCCAGCACCCCTAGAATTCTATAGGGTGAATTTAACACTTGACCAGGAACAAAGACATCAAATAGTTCAGACATAAACATGAAACAAAACAGGGAAAGAGATGCTAATTTTCTACCTCTCATATCTGCACTGATTGGAATGTCTGAAAAAAACTGCCCTTTCATCTCCATACCTGAGCTCTCTGTATCAGCTGAAAAAATTGTTACAGAAGGCTTTTGCCATTGTACATTTATTATCTTTTATGTACAACTCATTATCTTAAAGTGATTCTTTTTTTTAATTTTAAATAACATTTTATACTTACCTGCTCTGCGTAATGGTTTTGCACAGACCAGCCCTGAACCACTATTCCTGGGGTCTCACATTGGTCGTCCTGGCTTCTCCTCTCTTCCAAGTGCCCCCATAGCAAGCCACTTGCTATGGGGACACTCATGCGGGCTTGATCCTGAGCTGCATAGTGTGTCCATTTGTCCATTGACACACACAGTGTGGCTCGGAGTCCCCTCCCCCCCTTTCATGCTCTCTACTCACTGGCTGTGACTGACAGCAGCAGCAGGAGTAAATGGTTGCTTTCATTGCTAGTAAGGAGAGAAGTCAAAGAGAGCTACTGCTCTCAGGCATGGTGCTGAATCGATATAGGGCTCAGGTAAGTATAAAGGGTTGCTGGGGAGGAGCTGCACACAGAAGGTTTTTTACCTTAATGCACAGAATGCATTAAGGTAAAACAAAAAGCCTTCTACTTTTAGAAGCACTTTAAGTGACTTTACAAATCATTAGGTAGTCAAAACTGATTGAGTACTGCAAAACATAAAGGTAATATACAGTACAACAGGAGTGTATGCCCTGTATTTACAAGTTGGATGCTAGAACCTTCAAACATGTCCTAGGCCATTTGTGTGCTGCAGATTTTTTTGGGCTTGCTTGTAGAAAGGGGGCAGCACCCCAAATGTTGTAGCGTGTCACAGGTGTCAGAATTTGCTTTCTGGGAACTACCCCATGTACCTTTATCATCTATTATTGCACTGCCATGGTTCTATAACAGACAGAGCCTAAGCCAAAAGCTAGAGAGCCTTAAAATAAATTGACCCCATAAACTTCTTTTTAGTCTTATTATTAAGCCCCCTTACATTGTTAAACATTTTAGTAAAACAATTATTTTTTGCTGAATGCAAAAATAGCTTTTCTACACTAGTCCTTTAGATAAAAGAGCCTTTCTTATTTACAATTATTTTTCTTAACTGATGTCAGGTCATCCAAATGTGAGAAAAGCTTATTGTAGATAACTATCAATTTGTTTCCATTAAGCAATAATTAAGCAGTTGCTGAGATGCCATTTTAGCTGAGATGTACCCCGGTTGCATGTTAAACAGTCAACCACGGATCCTCTGGCGCAAATATTAAACAATGCCTAATGGGGGAGAACAGCACTATCACCTACATCCATGTCCAATCTATGTTAAATCGGGAGGAATTTCCATTGTAAAATTCTGTGATCTCATGTCAAACATGCAGAGATGTGGAATGAGTCAGGCCTGAGCTCAAACTCGGTTAAACTTCGTTCTGCTTATTATTTTACAGTATCCTCACAGTGGATTCTGTAATAACAAGACTGTTTGCCCATGGTAGAGAGAAAGTGTTAAACTTCACGTTGATTCTGCTAAGTTGAAGAGCTACAATCAATGACATGATGCAGGTCCAGACGTGTTACTGTTGTTTAAAGGGGTTGAAATGAAGCACAGCACGAAATGTTTCTTGCACTCACATTCAGCGAGCTCTTTACCAATAAAAACATATGGCACAAATTGAAGTGCT